TCTTTACTACAGAGTTCAGACTGTATAGACTATTCTTAATTATATAAATAAATATTTTCAATGAATCTATCTTAAATTCAGTAAATTATCTTATATAGATTATCTTAGTAAGATACTTATATAAATATATTATTACTATATTCATCTGATAAAGTATTTAACTATATAGTACTACTATTATAGAAAGAATATAATTAATAATATTAGTAATAATAGAAGCATAGATCTCTTCTTTAGAATTCTTCTTAAATCAGTTATTATAAATCACTTAATATAATTTTCTAAGAATATTATCAAAATCAGTATTCAGATCTATAAGTTTATCTTTTTCAAGAAATACTCAACAGTCTGAAGTAATCAATTCATTTCTTAGAATATCAGATTTAGAGATTAATCTTCATATATTATATCTCTTCAGATTAGTAATCTTATATTATATAAACTTCTTTTAATAATCTTCTACTCTCTCTAACTGAGATGTGATATTCTTATAGAACTTTGAGAGATTATCTATAACAGAGCTCAGAGAGTAAGTAGTCAGCAATTTCACAGACTATAATTATGTAGAATTTGAATTATTAATATTGAAAGTATTTTCATTATTAATTAAATAAATATTAGGTTCTGATTCAGTAATATAATTAATGAGTGTTATAGATATAACTGATTCTGATTTTTTAGTAATTGAAAATCTCATATCACTACTGATAATAATCTTATCAGATTCAGAATTTCATAGATGATATATTAACATATTACTGAATTTAATAATATAATAGAAATCAGCATGTAAAGAGAGCTTATTTATAGACTTCTGAAATTCATATAAGTGAATAAAAATCTCTGCACACAATTGATGAAAATACCTCATATTCAGTGAGATATTTATAAGTATATATCAAGAAATCTTATATAAACTTGAAATTATAGAAGTCTCTGCAGTAGAGAATTAAAATTTCAAGTTATAAAGAATTATAGATGTAAGAGTATTATTAATCATTATAATTACTATCTCTAGAATATCTGCTCAGAACTTCTTAGAGAGATTATATTTCAAAAGAGCAGCTCTAATTTATTTTATAATAATATGAATTCTACACTCAGAAACATCATTCTGATGTGATATATATAATATCATTGATTTTTATTTAAAATTATATGAATTCATGACTGTGTGTATATATATGAATCAGAAAATATCATCAATATCAGTCTGTAGAAAAGCAGAAACTGTATATCTAAAATTACTTATGAATCTGAGTCATAACTCAAAGTATTGAACAGTCTCATTCTTGAACTTTAAGAAATATACTTAACAGTAGTGAGTCATATCATAGATAATAAGTATTCAGTATTTAATTCTCTGATGAGACTCTAAGAGATAATCAGAGAGATCTTTCAATGTATATCTACTATTTATAAGATTAATATAGATCTTCTCAATAAGTTAAATAGATCTAAACATCAGTGTTTTTGAATAATCTTATATTATATCTGTCTTAACACATTTCTTACAAAAGAACTTAGTCTTAGAATCTTTAATTATGACTTCAGTATGGAAATTCTTGATCATAGAAATTATAGCATCAGTATAAATATAACTGAGATTATGATATTAATTTAAAAGAGTCTTTGATATCTTTAATATCTGTGTTTTCACATCTGTAGAATTAATATTATCAACAGTAGTAACAGTAGTTATAGAAAAATCAACTTTTCAGTTAAAATTATACTTATGAGATATTATGATATACTTGACTATCTTATTTAAATAATTGAGATTCTTATTAAACTTGTGTTTAGTGACTCTATATATATTGTTCTAAGTAATTCAAACTGTATGAAAGATAACATCATTCAGAGCTCTGTAAATGAAAAATGAGAGAATAGTGAAAGATAATATAAATTGAAATCTCTAATCTTCAAGCTTTGTAAATGAGAGTAAATTAACTGTAATATTAGAAATATAATGAATATTCTGTAAGTTAATATTATCACTCTCAATCTTCAAGATAACAGTTTCAATCTTCTTAATAAACTCAGTTTCTTCAGTTACAGAATTGACAGAGATGTTATTATTAAAAGATTTAATATTGAAAAAAGAATGAAGCTCATCTGTTATATTCAGACTTATATATGTGTTCAAATATTAAGATCTAGAGAATGATTTTTCAGTAACTGTAAAAGAGAAATAGAACTCAATCTTTGTAATTACTGTATTTACTACTGATTGAGAACTTATTAAGTTATTCTTCTTCTCTTTCTTTTTATTATCATTCTTCTTATTCATCTTCTTTTTCTTTTTATCAGAGTGTAAGATGAAATACTTATTAACAGTATATTTATATCTTTTACAGTGAGTGTACTTTTATACAGTTATGCTTTTATTCTCATCTTTATTTTTATTCTTTTTCACAGTTACAGAATCAGTCTGAGACTGCTTTCTTCACTCAGTGATGATATTCTTGAATGTATGATTAATCAGTTACTTCATTAAATCATTGATATTAATATTGATAATAAGTTCTTGACTAGTGAAGAAAAACTCATTCAGACATGTCTAGACTGACCGTGTGACCGTGTCTGGGACCAGGACCAGAATTTTTGATAGTCTCATTGTCAATTCGACAGATCTCATTACACGGTTCTAACATTAGATAGTAGTCTCATACTGTCTCAGTGGGACTTACTGTCTACTCTTGTCACATTTTCCAAATGGGACCATGATTTCCACTTCTCAATTTAAATTATTTTTATTACTTTAAATGACTTTAAATCTCATTTAAGTGTTACCAAAAAGTGTTACTTTTTAAAAAATTAAAAATAGTCTAAAAAAAACCTTAAAATGTCTAAAAATAGTAACTTTATACCAAGAATGAGACTAAATGGAACCAAATGGGACCACTTTCTCATTTTTTTCAAGTCATGGTTTCATTTTGAGATCTGATATATAGTCACTTTGCATGTTTATTTAATGATTAGTCCTAGCGGGATTCACGCTAAGAAATGTATGAGACCAGACCAAATGAGATCAAATGTGAAATTCATGGTCCCGGCGGCCAGTCTAGACATGTCTTAATAAACAGTTTTTAATAATCTTATAGATTGTTAAGAAAAACATCATAATATATATTCTCAGTACTCTGACAGAGCTCTCTGTGACAGATAATAAAATAGCAGAAACATCTCTGAAAAGTAAGATAATTACTATTCTTAACTTATAATTTTATTAATTTCTTGAAGATATTAACACATTCTTCAGTCAGTGATATTATATATTCAATATTGATCTTATCTTATAGAACTGTAGTATTGTCAGCTTTTAAGATTTTAATAGTGATTCAAATGTTTTTAACAAGACTTAACAGTATACATCTATATAGAACCCCGGTGACTGAATGATTAATACGGCCACCTGATAGCGCCTTGGCACGGGAAACTAAGGTGTGTGAGTTCGAAACCTGCAGAGAATACATTAAATCCAGAACTCAAGCACCTTAGATTTCTAATAAATACAGAGGTATACAAATCACTTTAATAAATTGCTCTATGTTTCTGAGCTGAAAAGTTATTATTGTATGTATTTAATTGTCACTTCTTTGTATTTTCTATGTTCTTATTATCTTGATATGATCTCAACACCTGTATTTCCTTCTGTATAACTAACACTTAACCTGTATTTAATATTATACAAGAACTCATCATAAGCTCCGCTTGTATATAAGTATAATGAAAGAAGATTAATAATAATAATAATATTTATATAGAGACTTGAAATGAATCTTTCACTTCTCAGAATTAATATAATATGTAAAAGAAGATTCTTATTAAGTTCTTAATAGAATATCAGTTTTATTAATAACTTTCATATTAGTTAACATATCAATATATCAGACTTTAAAATTAAAGTTATTAAATGTAATCACTGATTTAATATCTACTATATATTTAACTTTCTTCTAATATTTCTGTAATTCATTTCTCATAATATCTCTTTATACAGAGACAGATATAGTGAGATATTATATAATATCAGTTATAGTTATTTAATTCTGAAGTATTATCTGTATAAGATTCATAAGATTGCTTATAATGTAATAGATAGATTGATTCAGATCATCATTAAAAGTCAGTATTCTAAGAGTAAGAGATAGTGAAGAATTCAATAAGTTAAAATAAACAGATTTTATAGATAAATATTAACTCTGCTTTTTCTTATTCTGCAGCTTCTTTATTATTATTATTATTATTATTATTCTTTTGTTATACTTATATACAAGTGAAGCTTATGATGAGTTCTTATATGATGTTAAATATAGATTAAGTGTTGATTATACAGAAGAAAATACAGATGTTAAGATTATATCAAGATAATAAGAATATAGAAAATACAAAGAAGTAACAATTAAATACATATGATAATAACTTCTCATCTCAGAAATATAGAGTGATTTTATTGAAGCAATTTGTACATCTCTATATTTATTAGAAATCTGAGATGCTTAAGTTTCAGATTTAATGTATTCTCTGCGGGTTTCAAATCTACATGTCTTAATTTCTCATATCAAGATGCTACTGAGTGACCGCATTTATCATTTAATTACTAAGGTGAAACTTCTTCATTATTTCATTATTAAATTTCATACTCTAGTGAAAACTGATATCAGTCTTATCTTACAACTCAGAAACTTTCTCATAATAAGTAATTATTCTATTAATAAGTTATCTAGTAGAGTAAGTGATTCTGAGTCTTGAGTTAAACTCTGAAGTAATAGATATATCACTTATATCAAGATAACTCTGCTTCTTCTAGATATATAAAAAAAAAATGATATTCTTTATAATAGAGAATATGCTTTTTAAAAGTTAAAAGTATATAAATCTACTCACTGATAAATTCAGAGAAAATGAAATATCTCTAATAAAAAGTAAGAGTGTTTTTAAAAAAGATAAACTACTCTTATCAAAAATGCTGATACAATGTTTTAAAAAGAAAAACATGTCATTCAGGCTATAATCTGTAGAATAGTTGAAGATTGTATTGATAGATCTATCTACAAGAACATAATATAGTGGTGGGTCACGTGATCTGGTGGGATCGCTAACCGCAACGGCCGTAACGGCCAACAAAAACACAGCAAGCACTCGAGCGTTTACCCATACAATTATCAAGCTGCTGAGGGGAAAAAACATGTTTTCGCGGATGAGCACAGGGAAACTAATGTAAATCTTCATTACAACGCTCAATTGCTCAAATTATTCTCTGAGCATGCCTCTGAGAAGTTTCCGTCCATGGCGCGCTTCGCATCCAACTCGTGATGGTCATTGATTGGCACTGCTGCCGAATAGTGTGTAAATCTCGTGAACACCTACAAGGCAAGGACATGTCTATTTTTATACCAGATATAATCAAAGCCTTATGTATCTCTGCTTCCATCACATCACATTTACATCGATTTCTATGTCTTTCAGACGCACTGAAATCAAACATTCATCAGCCACGGCAGTCTTAAATACATCAATATATAAATCAAAAGGAGATAATGAAATATGACTGGTTTCATTAACATCTTCACCTAGGGGCACAAATGTATGAGGGGGGTTACAATCTATGCATACATGCGCGCACGCTCTAAACGCAGGCTCCGACATCTCATATCGTAATGTCATAATGATGAAGCAAATTAGCCGGAAGCTTTAATTCTTGGGTTTCTGGCCATAAACAACGTAGCTATAAGTCGCAAAGGCGAGGGAAGTCAGCCGTGAGTCGAGCACAAGCCAAAATTCCTCCATTTTTGAGGGGGCGAGGGAGGAGAGGACTGGAAGGGTCGAAAAGAGCAAAGAAATCAGGGGGAAAAAGGGAGAGAGGGTGAAAAATGCATACAAGTGGAATAAAGAGTGAATCTTTGGGTTCCTTGCATCCTGCTTCGTCTTCGCAATCAAGATGTCGACTTCCTCCTTGGACCAATTTCCGATGCGCGTCAACGCGGCCACCGCGCTACCTTCCAGGGATTCCTCGAACTGGAGCAGGTTATAGGCACCAACAGTTTTCTAAAAGCAGGAAAAGGGGGGCGGGTAGTTAGCAGCTGCTTAGCATATTCCGCACCGGAAGCCAGGTGTCCATGTAGTAAGATTTTGAAGCATCGGAATCGGGAAAGGAGCAAGAAGAGTAAACAAAAGAAAACGAACAAAATGTTTGTCTTTCGCCCATGTTCCGACCGGGACGAGGTGCTTGTGAACTTGGACGTTAACGAATCCCGCATCCTTCATCCACTTCTCAAGATATATGCCCGGTCGAGTGATGTAACCAGCCATCTCGAATGCCGGAAGCGTGCTGGTGAAATAGCGCTCGATGCTGGTGCCTTTTGTCGTGCCATCTGCAGACTGCACCATGGCATCCCAGTCTTGGAACTCGGCCCATCCACCGGGCTTGAGGCAGCTGTGAAAAAGACAAAATCCTCAGCATCGAATATCTTGAAATGCTTGAGAGTGAAAGGTTTAGTCATACGCAAATGCCTGTTCCAGCAAACGCGGCATATTTTTAACACCGCCAGTGAGGTAGCGAGCATGGATGAAGTCGAACGGATCATTCTCATAGCCCCATTCGTCTTCAACATCATCGATTATGAACTTGACATTTGGAGGAACCCTGTCCTTAAATGTTAGGATACATTCGAGTCACAAAAGGACTAGAGGATGGATTTGGAAGAACATGAGACGGACAGTTTGGGCTGGATAGGGCTGAGGTCGTTTCCGATAACCTGCAGACAGCAAAATTTAGCAAGATGTTATAGGACGTCTAGAGGAGGGCATGCTGTACCTCAGCGGATGGGAACAAATCGGCTTAAGAATATACAGTTAGCTCAGGTAGCGAATAAAAGTACTAGAAAAGGAGGGCGTACCAAACTCAATGGCCCAGATGCCAGTCCCAGTACAGATATCAATCACCCGACCTGGGGCATCTCCGATGGGGGCTAAAAACAATTTATCCTTCATGGTGACCCGAATAAGTGCGTGATGCATGTCAAGCCGCTCGTTCTCCTGCTCATCGTTAGGGAGCATATATCCTAAAGTGATATCAGATGGATGATTTCACATTTCGCAATTTAAAATCTACATTTTTAGAAAATTTATGAAAGGTTTACTAACGTCCTTCTTTGTAGGCATGGTATCTTCGACCTGCGCAGACACAAAATAATAAGTATGATAGTATTTCGCGTTTGGCTTTCTGTTATAATGCCCATACCGTTTTCCCTAAGATAGATGTCAATACAAACAGTTTGACCACATAGCTAAAGATTAGAGGGGACTGCGGGCTAACAGACTTCTGATAGTCCGTGACACTTGATGTAACCGAAGCGGTATAAACAGATCTTCAATCGCGGTCAGTCAGCATATGTCATCCAGCGGCAGCATCAGGCGGAAATCATGAGAAGGATTTGGCTCACAATTCATCTCCATATGTCGAATCCGAGTCATCAATCTGTATTCCCGGTTAAACCCGCTCCCAGAAGAGGATATGAATAAAAGGAAGGATTCTGCATACTGTTGGGTCAACCACCAAATTGTCATGTTCTCGATCTTCCGCCGCGATAGCGGGAACGGCGGGAGGAGCCTCTGTTTCAGCCATATCTTAAGTGGACGTACTGTCTTTACTGCACAAAGTGGGTGCAGCTCTCAAAGTTTGGGTTTGACCGCCTTGATAAAGGGAAAACGGACGGGACTCCAAACGAGGGGAATAAAGAGGAATTCGGACAATCACCATGCAGTGCGAAGCGCCGACAACCTGGGAGCCGAGTTGGGAAATATCATCACAGGCGAGGCCTTGGATCCCTGATCCCTGCCAAAAGAGTTGCTCCTACTCCATACTTCAGCTCAATTCGGTGCTAGAGCGCTGCATGAGAGCCTTTACAACAGTGCGGAGGCTGCTCGTTCACGACCGGCTCTGCTCCGGCGCAAAAATACCCTGGGCCAATGGGGAGAATGGCTTTGTTCCGGAGGGGTTGTGGCCAATCCGTGGCTGGCACTGGATGCAATTATCTCCACATTCCGCCGGCCTGGTGGCAGCCGGTACAACACGATCATCAAGGGAGCCAACCTCGCCACCTTAACTGCCCAATCCAGTATCGACCCTCAAGATTAGTGTTTTTCTCGTGCTGGTATTGGACGGAAAAAATCACCATTTCCACGTCAGAGTGGTTGGCATGTGTTGGATCTAGAGATCGAACTAAAATCTCACACAAACCGGTGGCTAGCTTGGCAGTGCATGTCCAGCAAGCATTTCGCTACGGTTTATCCCCTGTCTGAGTGTGAGAAAATACGCGTAGTAGTGAAACAACTAAGCTATTATTAGTGCAGAGGTATCAATCAATAACTTCTCATACTAAATTCTATAATTACAGTCTCATGTTTTTAAATTAATATGTATTCTACAATCTTCTTATCTTGATTTATCTTTATATGTATTTATTATGCTCTAATCTGAGTTCTGACTACGAGAATACAATTAGTGCATTTTTTAGTATATACATTAATGTATTGCATACACAAAAAGTACTGAATAATATTAGAAATCAGCTGCATTAATATGTTTTAATATGATTTATATAATCTTTTTAATTTAGCTTTAATTAATATTATTAGAATGAAACTTATTTTAATATTTTTTAAATAAAAGATAATATTATTTATTATATACTATTTAATTATATTTTAATTTAAAATTCTTTCTTTATTCTTTTTTACTTTCTTTATTTTATTCTAATATTAAACAGTAATTTGAAAAAAATAACAGAGAAATTTATAAATAATTTAAATTTAAATTTAATTAAATAATGATGAAGATAATATTATAGAGTAGTTAGTTATATTATTAAGATCTAGGTATTATACAGTCTTTTATATATAATAAGTATTCACTAAGTGATTAGTAAACATCTTACTTATACAGAAGTAGTTAATCTATAGAGAGAATATAATATCTCTCTTAATTATTACTCTACTAAGTAGATATTTACAACTTAGCAAAGTAATTCTATAACTAGAGAGAGAATATTATATATAAAAATAATAGTATCTTCTGTTAATAATTTCACAGAAAATAAATAAGAACTGAAGAATTAAAGAAAATTAATATAGAGATATTAGCTATTATATCTAGACTGATTATATAATTATATCTGAGATTAGAATTAAAATATTTAATAATCTTATTATTAATTTAACTAATCTTATTACATAGTTTTAAGATTAGATAGTAGTTTTATACTATTTCAATAAGACTTACTGTACAGATGACACAGATCCACTCTTTCTCACAACCGCCCCACCACGAACTCGCTCGATTTTTCGAATAAGAACCCGCCGATAGATCCATCGAAAAGCCCTCGATCATACAAGCATTTTGACCCCATCGCCGACCGCATACCCCGTGTGGTGGTGGAGTTATCCAGCCAAATGTGAACCAGACGTCGTTCGGAACTCCTGCGTGGGATTATCCCCCATTCTCCCCTATCACACCACAACCCCGGGCCAAATTGCCATACAAATTGTAAGGTGAAGAGACCTAGCCGCATGCACCAATCTTCTCGATTTTGGAAGATCCCCGATCTGTAGTTGTGGAGATATCTGAGGAGCGACCTCCGCGAAAACCCTGTCCATCTTTGATGTTCCAAAACACCAACGCCAAGTCCCACCCTCGTACCGCCCTTCCCAATCTGGCCCATCCCCAGCAGAAAAATACAAAACGATACCTCGGCAATAATATCAAGCACATAATCAACAGACAATGAGTCAACAGCACACCAACAACTATAAAATCAGTATACCCCAAGATCTGACTGAGCCTTTGATCTCTGCACAGTGAGATATATTAAATCTAGTTTTAATATCTCAATATTCAATAGATTCTGCAAGAGATTGAGAACAGTAACACTAGGTTTTTATTGAATTTGAGAATTAACTCTATATTAATATAATCATTGACAAAGTCTTCTATTTTGAGATATAAATAACCAGTTCCTCTACATCCCACTGACAATATTTATATTATTATATAGAAATAGACTTATATTCTCTATAATATTAAGACTCTGAAGAGGGAAAGTCTTGATAGAGAGTATACAGTAGTATATATCTTAGCAGTTTCTATCTCATTCTTCTGCAGCAGTCAATGCATAAAAAAAAAGATCTTAGAAATAGTTTTTTACTTCTCTTGAAAAAGTAAGGTGTTTTTCTCTGGGTTTTACACAATATTCTTATAAAGAATTAAAAACAGAGCTGTTTTCTGTCATAATTTCATATTCTTTTAAGTAAGAATTACTTTTTCAGTGACTGAAGAGCTTTCATTAATACTTAATTCTTTTTTACACTTTTTATTAACTGATTTGAGTTGCACACTTGTTGTGTGAGGAGAATTGAATAATTTAAAATAAAATTGAATAGTTTTAATCAATTTCTCTGTAAAAAATTGATTTATTTTTTGTCAGTTTTTCTCTCAAAAACTGTCATATCATCTGATTTATTATCAATTGATATCATACTTTTCCTCACTGTATCTCAAGAAAGAGATTGTAAAGATTTTATTGATTTATCTCAAAAATCAATTTTAGTTTATTAGATTCTCTTCAAAAATCTAACCTAGTTACTGAACTAGTGTGAAAAAAATCAGGTGTTTTATACACAAAAGTCTTTTATTCTTCTTTTGAAACAGTCTGACCAACTTTTCAATTGAAAACAGACTTAGAAATATCTCAATTGAAACAGTCTGATCAACTTTTCATTGAGTGAAAACAATGAGTTCAAAAATACACTCAGTTGATGTGGAAAAAGATGCTTTCTCAAATGCTATTTCTGAGATTGAAATTCTGAAGAGAAGAAAGAAAGAAGAAATAGAGAAATAACAAGTTCTTGAAATACAGAAACTTGAAAAAGAAAGCAAGATTCTTGAAAAGCAGTGTCTGAGTGAGATGAATGAAGAAGTTCTGTTAATTCTTCATACTCAGACTAGACAACTACAGAAGATGATCAAGTTCAAACTTGAAATCTCAAACACAGCTCAAAAAACATTGAAAATTTCTAGTATAATCACTGACTCTTCATCTTGCTCTTCTTCATTCTTTTTTCCTACTTCTTCTTCTTCTTTGAATCAGAAGAAAATATATGCTCAAGCAGCTGAATCTACTGTCTCTAAATCTGCTATCTCAAAACCTGCTCAAAATTCTGAGAAAACTGAGAAGAATACTGCTCATGCTTCTATTCATAGAAAAGTGAAAAAGAAAATGCAAAAAGAGAAAAACTTTCAAATCTTCAGAAATAGAAGACTTATTCTCAAAGTCTCAAATCAGGACATTCTGCAAAGAAACAAGCTAAACTCAAATCTCATTTTCAGAATCAGAAATGAAATTAATAAGCAGTTCTTTTCTCAGTTAATGACTGATATTGAAGTTCAAAAATCAGTTATAGCTTCAATTGAGTCATTATTCTTTGAAAACTCCATCATTCTGACTACAATGTCTGAATTCAGTGCTGAATTTCTTATTCAGAATGAGAATCTCTGAAAGTCAGCAGTAGAATCTTTGTTAAATACAACAATTCTATCTGAAAGAGATGAAAAGTGAAGTAAATTCATTCTTCATAATATTTCAGTTGAAATTTTTGACTGTGAAGAAGAAATGCTACTTCTCAAAAATGAATTGAAAGAATACAACTCTATTCAACTGAGAAAGAAGCCTGTATGACTAAATTCAATTGAGTTCAGATAAAGCAGGAGAAATGCCTCTGTTCTAGTATATATAAAAACACTTGAACAGTCAAAGATCTCTGAAGTAAGAGTAGCAGATTTAAAAATGAGAGTTCATGAATACAAAGACTCAAGAATGAATCTCAAAGCTCAAACACAGTGTTCAAACTGTCAAAGATATGAATACTTTACAATCTCATGTTTTAGAGACTCAAAATGTGCATTCTGTGCCAGAGATTACAAAACTAGTGAGCATAAATGTGAAACATGCTCAAAAAGAGATAAAATTTATCAATATACTCTACTTAAGTGCTCTAATTGCAAAGAAAAACATGCATCTAGCTCAAAAGAATGTATATTTGCTTCTAGAACTCAAAAGAACTGAAGAAAAGATGAAGCTCAAAGTCAATCTAGAACTGAAGAGAAGAGTCAAGCCAGTAGACTTACAACTGCAAGCTCAAAAAGAAGGAACTCTTAACTATCTAAATCTTCAAACTCTAATTTTCCAGCTAAATGTAAACAGAATTTGAATTCTCAAACTTCTGTTAAGATTAGAGAATTGAGAAATGACTCTGATAATAAACTAGATATAATGCAAGCAGTTAAGATTTCTACTTTTAAGAATAGTTATAATCTACTATCTGATGATAGTGATTAGATTCTACTCTTCTCTCTTTTAGTATAAATATACAACTGCCTCAGTGGCCGAATGGTTAATGCGGCCACCTGGTAGCGCCTTGGCGTGGGAAACCAAGGCGCGTGGGTTCGAAACCCGCAGGGGATACATTAAATCCGGAACTCAAGCACCTCAGGTTTCTAATAAATACAGAGATGTACAAATCACTTCAATGAATCGCTCTATGTTTCTGAGCTGGGAAGTTATTATCGCATGTATCTAATTGTCACTTCTTTGTATTTTCCTATGTTCTTGTTATCTTGATGTGATCTCAACACCTGTATTTTCTTCTGTATAATCAACACTTGACCTGTATTTAACATCACGCAAGGACTCATCATAAGCTCCGCTTGCATATGAGTATAATGAAAGAATAATAATAATAATAATATGAATATACAACAAAAACAACAAAAAAAGTTTAAAAACTCTTCAAAAATCACATTTATTCAAAATAATGTGAATAGAAACTCAAATTGCATTTATTCTTGTCTTCAAATTGCATTTGAATAAAAAGTTGATTTTGTACTGCTTCAGGAGCCGAATTTTGATGCTGAGCAAAAATATGTCATTTCTCATTCAAGCTACTACTGCTTTTTATCTCAAAAGTCTGAGATAAAGTCAAGAGTAGTGATCTATGAAAGAAAGAGATCAAGATATCAATTTAATCTAAGATTTGATATCATGTCTGACCCTGATATTCTGATGAGTGATATTATAGATAAAGAAAATGAGGTTGATACTATACAGCTCATAAATATCTATAATGAAAAGTCATTGAAGAAAAATAACAATATCTGGACAATTGATAGAGGATTTCTGAACATAACTTCATCAAGAAACTCTATAATTGCAGGAGATTTCAATGCACATCATCTCTGATGAAATTCAGAATGCAAGAGAGCAGTGAGAGCTGATAATCTAGTTGAATGAACCTTTGAGCATTCAATAGATTTGGTTAATAAGTCTGA